TATTGCCTGCAGCAAAAGGGCCGGCTAGGAGGCAGTAGTAATTGCCTGTAAGGTTTCTGTAAAGTTCCTTGGCCTTCCAGCATGACAGCATTAGGAATCAGCTCAATACCATAAGGAGTCTCATGCAAACACACATTTGGGGCAGTCACACTTCACTAAGCATGCCATTTTAATTTCTCATTGTTGTTTGTGAGGCCATAGAGGCGGCTGAAACACATCTCTTCTGTTGAACTTCTCCTTCCTTCCAGCCGCTCTCCTCCCAAAGGTGGTGAGTGTGGGCTCCTGTAACTGCTTGTTCAGAGCTGTCAATGCCTGTAACCTGCTGCTCTTGGGCTTTCTGGCTGGACTGACAGGACCTGGCGGTGATCCAAGCAGGGTGATGTCTCCAGACCCTTTCTGTCTCCAAGACAGGAGCAGTGAACTTTGTTCCAGTTTTTCCTGGACCTCTCCCAAACAGAGTCAGAAGTTGTCTTTTTTAATTGTTTGCAGGTGATGGAATTGGATAATTTCAAATGCATTTGAAAATAAAGTTATAACCAATGGTACTATAATGTGACACATGTAGTTTCTCGCTGCTAAGCCTATGATAAGAATCTTTTTGGCTTTTCAAAGGGTAATTTTTATTTAACAAACTTAAATTTATCCATTGTGGCCAAAGCTGAAAGTATACTCTGGCAATTATGACTTATGATTATGCTGTAATGGACTTGTTTCTGATGCTAATGGTGAATCTGTAGTTTCATCTGCAATTGGAAACATGATGTCATGGGGACCAAGGTGGGTGGGACACAACTTAACTGGGGTGGGATGGTCCATGAATTTCTGTGAAAAGGGCCTTTATGCCTGTTTGTCATTGCCCTGTGGCAAACCACCAGCTTAATATCCAATTTTCCTGGCGAGCCAGTAAATGACAGAATATGCAGATCAAAAAACTCCTTGTACAAGTAAGATAGTCAATTTAGATAGTTAATTAACCATTTAAGTAACTGACTAGATCTGATTAATTAGTAGTTAATGGTAAGGTTCTGTCAGATTAAATTGATCTCTAGTAACCCAATGGACAATTATGAGCTTTCAGTCCCTGTGATTATTTTTCCCTTGCACTCTTGCAAGAACCCCAGTTAGAGGTAATGTGATAATTTAGGGCTGTTATGTAAGGCTGTCTCCTTGCCACAGGACAGTGCTTCAAGCACTGCTATAATATGGGGCAATGCTATTCCTAATGCCTGGTAAGTGAAATATGTAATTAAGTAATCATTGATTTTTTTTTAGGGAATTTTTGTAGCACCATTACTAGTTTCATACTGCCTGTCAATTCATTGCCCATTGAAGGGCAGATTGTTGCAGACAGACAAATAAACAGAAAGCAAGCAGAGAGGTTAAAGGTGGCGAACCATGGGAGAAATGTAAACAGAAGAAAGGCAAAAAGCTTATTTTCCAGGTTGTCTTATGGCCCTGCCTTGGTGCTTGGTAAAGACGTCAGTGCCATCTGGACAGGAACTGAGCTACGCACATTTTGGGTGCTTCTGCAACACAAATAGTTTGAGTCATGTTACATATCTCAAATATTTTGCTCAGAAGCAGGAAGGCATATGCCCACTCTGGATGTCATCTGAGGGATGCCTGGAAGGCATGTCTGGCAGGCTTATACCAGTATCATTGCAAATCAACATACTCATGGTAGTTTGTAACTAGTAAAAGACAGCATGAGGCCTTGTGAATTTTGACTTCCACAAGAGGGCTATTAACATGAATTAAGATTGAGTTTTGCAATTACAATCATTAGAACCTCAGTGGTTTTTTCCCCTTTTTTCACCCTTAACTTTGCCTTTGATCTTTAACAGAGATATTTCTATCCCTTTCAGAAGAGATGATATAGTGAAATGGAAATGATTGCAAGATATTTCTGATAAGTGACTTGCTGTGTTTCCACATTTGTTGTATCAGCTATTACTCATGTACCTACTTGTTTATTATTCTTCTTGAAAGAGCAGGAGTGAAGTGGGATTAATAAAGCTATTCGAACTGATGTTTATAGTTCAGTTGTTGAATCAAAATTTGAAAAAAAACCCCAAAACCTTGAATTAGAAATCTTTTAGCTGAAACCACTTTTGACATATTGCATTCAGTTCAGACTGATATTAAATGAGTTGTTTCAAGCACCTCTAAGAAAAGCTAAAGAAATTTAGGTATGGTTTACAAACTGATAACGTAAATCCTTCCCCTTTGCTATTATCCAGTAGATCCATTATGTTTGATTCTCCAGAAAGTGAGAGATTCAAGTTTGTTTTCTCCTTTACAAAGCCTTTTGAGGTAGGAGAGGCTTCACTGTTTTATTTTCTCTCTTAGGTTTGTTCCACTTCGCAATTTTAGTGAAATGAACATCCACTGAAGCAGGCTGCAATCCTGGTGCATAATTTTCCACGTGGGTGCCTTAATCTGTAGGCTGGAGGATTTCCTTCTCTTTCTGTTCCTGGATCTCATGTTGTTGGAAATGAAGAGGTTTAGGATGAGGGCTGGAATTCCACATCCTCACCTTGGTATTTAGGGTATATCTTTGGGGTGACACCCATCTTCAAATTCAATGTCCACCTGAGTCAGGACAAGGATATGCACATGGGTGCCCTGAGTGCTATGAAATGAGGTGGTCTGAGCCAAGTCTTCTCATGCTTCAGCTCTTCCAGTTGGGAACTGGGACACCCTCCTGGTGGTATAGACTCAAGTGTTGTTTCCTACTAACCTCTCACTGGCTTGCCAAGCTCCTGAGCTCAGGTGTAGCTTTTGTTGGCTGGGAAGCTCTTCTGCCAGCAAACCCACCATCCCTGAGCATGCTCCTGGGCTGCCATGGTGTGACCACCTACCATCGCACAGAGGACATGCGAGGGGCAGAGCTCAACAGGGGATGCTAACTACAGCCTCTGGGGGAGATGACTGGGGAGGCAGGGGAGGGGAGTCAACACTGCTTTTGAAAATGAGATGATAGCTCAAAGTTCTCTTATCTAGTTTCTGGAAACTAAATAAAGTTTGACTTACACTGAGTCACTGAGAAGGTTCTGCTGAAATCCATTTCAAGTCCTTTGGCAGAAAGCACTCAGGCGGAAACTTTTCCTTACCAGTTAACTAATGCTTCTCCTGCTTCTGGTACCGTGGCTGATTCAAGTCTGTGCAGTTTGTATAATTACACCCCACCCTCCCCAAACCTAAAGCACACAGGAAATGACAGGAAAAAGGCCACGTGTCACAATAATTGCTTTAATTTGGTCTGTTATTCCCTTGCTTTCTGGCTCAGTATTTGAGCCTTGATGTTAATTTTCTTGTATAACTAAAGGTGTTTCCTCTTCTTGTTTATACCAGCTATGATTTCTAAACATCCTTGAAATTATCTGCCATAACATCTCTCCTTATCATGATATTAGTTCAGTTTGAGCCACTTATAGAAAGTGCTTCTTTCTATTTTTCAACAGAAACAGTTGGGAGCCAGAAAAATATGTATTTGTTTGCCTTTCTATTTTTGGTTTGAAATTGCTGGAAGCCAGAAGGTGGGTTTTTATTTTCTGTTTTAAGATTTTATTTTCAAACTAAACCAAATATTATGTATGAGGAATAACACATATTTTAAAATTACTGGCTCTAGTAACAGGAAAAAGTTCTTGTCAGAAATTCTTCGGAAGTGTGGCTCCTTCTGTAAATATTTTCTTGCTCACTTAAGCAGAGTCTTGTATCTTCTCCCATTTCACTCAATGATTCTTTCATATGCAAAGGGGTGGGTTTTCTAGGAACTTGGCTGCACTAAAAAGTTGGTATGTTTTTCTGTATCTTGTACACTGCACTGATTGTTTTGTCACATGTCCATTCTACCAGCCAAAGGAAAATCACATAGGGAGGTGACTATTGTTTATGTATCCCAAATGAATTCACCTGAACTGTCACCTAAATGGAAAACTACTAACTCTGTGTGTCTTTGGAAAATAAACACTAGTGTCTACTGATGGACTGCACAGATTTCTCTCTCCAGAACATAAAATTGTAATTCATTATAAAATGGGTAGTCCAGTATGAGATCTTATCTTGTTAAGGAAAGCTGGGAATTTACCTAACTAGGATTCCCAGAAAATACTGGGAATTACTCAGCCAAAGTGGAAATAAAAATCTTCTAGACTTCTTCGAAAGTAAAAATACCCAAACAAAATGAAACAAAAAAACCCCACAACAAAACCCAACCAACCCCCTAAAACGAACCACCCCCATTTTACATATTTATTCTCTATGTATTTCCTATAAAGAACCAACCCTTAAACAAAACTCAACCAACCAAAAGCAACCCCCTAACCACATCCATGAGTTTTATTGCATTTATTTCATAGAAAGGGTTGGATGGATTTGTGTCAATGTTCCTTATCACTGGTTGAGTTCTGAATCAGTAAAATCGGTTCACATAGCATTATCTTTGCAAAAGGTCCTGTTTTTGAGGGAGTGGGTGGAGTAGGGAGGGTAGAAGTTGACAGGTCAAAGAGTATTAACACATTTTTTTACTCTACTGCCAAGACTTATGTTATACAAAAGTATAATGCAGATCTTAAGTAAACACTATTTTCTCTTTCTACAGCTTTCTCACTAAGCTTTGAAACCATTCATGGAAACTGATGGCAACGCTCTTGTAAGTACAGCTGAAGTTATGCCAGTGTTACTGATCCGCTGAAGAGGTGGTATGTTGGGGTGATATTCTTGTAATCATAGAAGACAGCATCAATATCCAAACAAGATCTTCCTTATGGGCCAGGCCAAGTTGTGAGACTGCCACAGGCTGCCCCAGTTCTGCTCTAAGAATGAAATGGGTGACATGGTCTAGTGTGAGGCATCCCTGCCCATGGCAGGGGTGTTGGAACTAGATGATATTAAGGTCCTTGCCAACCCTAACCATTCTATGATCTTATTAATATGTGTAAATACCTGAAGGAGGGGTGTAAAGATGATAGAGTCAGGCTTTTTTCAGTGGTGCCCAGTGACAGGACCAGAGGCAATGGGCACAAGCTGAAACACAGGAGGTTCCCTCTGAACATCAGGAAATACTTTTTTACTGTGAGAGTGACTGAGCACTGCACAGGTTGCCCAGAGAGGTTGTGGAGTCTCCATCCTTGGAGATGGTCAGAAGTTGTATTGACATGGTCTGGCTACAGGTGTCCTAGCTTGAGTTGGGGAGTTGGACTAGATGACTTTATGAAGTCCCTTTCAAGCTCAACTATACTGTGATTCTGTGGAAAAATAGGACCTCTAAACCGACAGAGGTCTCTCACTGAAGTTGTCATGTCTCTGGTACATTTCTGCTCATCAGTGGAGCCCACCTGGCACAGATGTGGCTGTGAACAGTGCTTGGTTTTACATCTTACTTTGCAACTGGCTCATGGGTATATTTGCCAAGCAGAAGAGTAATGGATAGCAAGCTTGAAACCTGCACTGTCCTGCAGGATCACTATTCCATCTTGTTCAACCCTCAGGTCTCAGTAAACCAAAACCTACCAAAAAAGATTAAAACCTATCCTGTATTGCCAGCCTTGCAAAAAAAAAAAAACCAAACCAAAACAAAAAAACCAAAGAACCCTTCTAAAGATCCAAATAGTTGTAACATTTGGCATTTATTTCAGAGCTTTCTGAAAATTATTGCTGTAGGATTTTCCCTGGTAACAACAAGAGCTAGAAATAGATCTAATTTTTGTTTATTTGTTCATTTGTTTTTCTGTTGAACCTGTGACAATGAAATAAATAATTTGCCATCAGGAAATTGGGCTTTATAGAGAATCTCCTACCATTGTCAGAAGCATAGTAAAACCATGACATTTGGTTCAATTTCAGACCGTTCCAGTGATTATGTCTTGTAGATACAGTACTTTCACATCTGAAACTACTGTTACATCCCGGGTCAGTACCATTGGTTGTACTGGTAATAACTCTGCCTTCCACAGTTTTCTCTTTGTTCTGCACTGGTGTTAATGTCTCTATTATGAGTGAAACCCAAAAGTATCTCTTAATCAATGTTCACCCAGGGTCACTGAAATGAGAGATTGTTGACTTTCATAATGTGTTGTATTCTTGTGGAAAGCTGAGTCCAATCCTGCTTCTGAGGCATTTCATGAATTTTACGGCAGATTCATTTCAATATTGGTTTTCTATTGGTTTAAGGAGAAAACAGCTTTTATAGAAAACTGGCTTTTTTATTGCATAAAATATCTGACTTCAAACACTGGTGCGTTGGAGAAAGTGGTTAGTTTTGTTTGTTCATAAATCAACAAAATTTGGGAAGGCAATTCTGTGAATAACCCTGGATTTCATTGCTACAGGTGGGGATTAAATGTTTCTCTTGTGCAGAGCAAACCAGGTATTTTATTTTTTATAAGATGATGCTGGGTTTCTAAACACCACTAAACAAAACATTTAAAAGTTGCTGAATTCCAGGTTTAGGATTGATTGTTGAAAATTCACTTCAGCTTTCAGGAATACTGGGAAATACAACCAGAAATGTACCTTAATTCACAAAATCTCACTCAGCAATAATACTATTACAGATTTATCACTGATTTTATTCAGGCAAATTAGACAAGTGCTGGCTGTGGAAACTGCCCTTCTTTCCCCCATTATTTTCCCAACTCCTCCCACAAAATACAAAGAGATGGGGATTCATCATCCCTGCCAACTTGCAGCAGGGTTACCATCATTACTGCTGAATAATAAATGCACGTTTGTAAAATTCTTTTTGCTTTTACCAGACAATCAGTTTTTGCCTCAGCCTGTATATGAAGTGGGCCCTAACAGATAATTTACATAATATGGATATTAACCGTTTCTTGAGAGATGAGGCATAGACTGTGTTATTTTTCTTTAGATCACCAATAAGGTTAGTGGAAAGATTTACTTTCTCGGTTGTTAACAGAGAGCCACATCCTGTCTCAGTATTGCTATTCTTGTTGTACAACTTTATATTGGTCAAAGATGAAATGACCCCACTTCAGTATCATGGCAAAGATGTGACATTGCCCCACTACACAGTTTTTGTGCAAGGAGAGCTGATTCATGTTTGGTTTTCTTAATATCACTTTGGGTAGTTTTAAAGGAAAGTAGCGTGGCTATTTGACCCATTGATTCACTGAGGCCATACGTTATTTCCATGTGAAAATAGGGTATTTCTTTCTTTGGAATGAAGACGTAAAGGGAGGCCCATATAGGATGGGGAAGCATCAGAGCCTCCAGCAGAGCTGATGTGTTCTCTCATTGCTTTTCTTTGTCTGTTGTCATGGAGAATAGTCAGAAAGAGGCAGTGGTGGAATTAAGAAAAAAAAAAAGTAAGGAAAGGAGGAGAAGGAGAAAAGGGAAAAAGAATATGTGATGATTAAGCAGGAGTCTGGGATTATTCATTCCTGGTAAAGCCTCCCACAAGCGTGTAGCTCAGGTCATCTCAAATAGGCACAGACAAGCACACAACTGCGATCCGCACTTCTGCACTCTGTGATACATGCTGCAAAGATCACTGGTTAGAGAAAGTTCTAGCTCTTGTAGACACTGGTGGTAGTGGTCTCTTCTGATGTTGTTTCCAGGTGGCATAGCTTTACTCACCTTTAATTTGCCTGTGAGAAGAGCCATGAAATCCTTCAAGGATTACATGAAATGGGGTTTTGTTTTCCTGAAAAGCCGTCTGGCTAGGCAGAGGGGCTGCATTAGGGATGTTCATAGCGTAGCTCTGCAGCGGATCAGGTAGCTACCAGCTTTGCATAGCAACGTTGTGGCTGGCATATTAAATCATACATTATCCAACATGCACTTATCCAGCATTTGTCATCTGGAGGCTTCAAAACCATCCTAAAAATGGAAAAAGGTGAATGCTTTTGTTGCCATGCTAAAGATGAAAAGGTTGAGGCAAAGAGAAGGCAAGTGCTTTGTCCAGAATTGCATGATCAACCAGTCTGTCTGAGGAGAATTTACTCCAAAAGTCAGACCTTATATTTCTAATGGTCTCTTTTTTTGTCTCTGCTCTTCTCTTAAAGTTTCATTTTCTATGTGTTTATGTGGGATGGAATATACAGACTGCAAGCAAGTAAATATAATTAAATTGTGTTATTTTTGCAGTGACTAAAACTCATGTATGGAATGGCAAACTTCTGGCATATGTATGTTTTACAATTTGGATAATCTGCCAGGTTTGTGTGATTTTCTTTTTTTAAGAAATATTCTGAAAGTCTTACATAGGGGAAATACATTCTCTACACTAAATAAGAAAAAAAAAAGGAGGAATGGAAAAATAAATGTTTGGTTTTGTTTGGTTTTCAGAATATCTTTTAGAATGAGATAAATGACAATCAGACTCCTAGCATATATCTTTATTATCCCCATGTTTGTAAATCACCCTTGTGGAGTGTAATGAAGCATTAAAATGCTGGAGTCCTGACTTCTATTATTTTTTAACTTCTAAACACAGAATAAAATTCAGGCAAACATGTAGCAAAGTAGAAGCTGCTCATGTGTGTGAAACTGGAAGCGCTAGTAGACAGTCACGTGTAATAGTTAAGTTTGCTCTTGCTCAACTAGATATACATCAATTTTAATTAACACATTTTATGCTTCAGCTACTAACATCCCTTCAGCAGTGAGTGGGTTATGTGTTTCCATCCTGCATATACCACCAGCATCACCACCACGTCCTTCTCTAGCTTCCCCCTCCCCTTTCTACACAAATGTTGCAACACAATCTGAAATTTCCTCTTTTCTTTCCTTCCTGCATTTCTTACAGGTTCCCTTGCGTCAGAAGACAAAAAAGAAAAGTCAAGGTAATGAGAGATTGTTTTTTCTTTTCTCTCCTGGGTTTCTCTTTAGTTATTTTCTTAGTATGTCTTATTCTTGGGAGGGCAAGGATTTTATACTGTTACTCAGCTGGTGGAAGGCTTCTTTTTAACTCCACTGATTCTTGCACTGATTCTGAGAAAAATGACAACGGGCTGTTCCTTTGGACTATATCCTTGTGGTATGTTAACTGAATCAAAGCTGAAAACCAGTGAGGTAGAATCAGCTGCCTGCACACACACACACACACAAGCGGTTTTCATGTACTTGGCATAATAGTTTTCTCTAGCTGACTTAATAGATGTATTCTTTTCAGTGCAGCTGCGTGAAGGCAAATATATGCATGCTTCTCTTAAAAGGATTGAAGGATATATTTATAATTTACAAAAACTCCTGTATGGTTATCTTAGCATTAATTAGTACCTGCTTTATCTGTAGCTTACTATTTTGTTTCTGCGCATCAGAATGCCTTTCAAATGAATGTGTGTTACTGTCACAGCCATTATAAAAAGGAACGATTTCCAAGTGTATTTTAAGATATGCTTGGGTGACTTGCTGAGATTACTTGCTAAGTAAGGTTGATATCTTTAATTGGCATTTTTCCTGGTGATGCACTTTTAAACAAGCAGAACACTGTATTTTTAATGGCACAGGGTTCTTTATAATGAGCCGACGGAGGATATCGTGTAAAGAGCTGGGGCAAGCCGATTGCCAAGGATGGCTCTACAAAAAGAAGGAAAAAGGAGCTTTCATTGGCAACAAATGGAAAAAGTTCTGGTGTGTGCTGAAGGAGTCATCGCTGTATTGGTACAGCAGTCAGCTGGTGAGTACTGTGTTCATCTAGGTCTGGGTGCCGGGCAAACAGATCTGCTGGGACCAAGAGAAGGGAAGCAGGGATCACAATTTAGATGCACCCGGGAGATGTACAGATGACTGGGTTTATTTCTTAGCCCTGACATTTCTTGTAATCTGGGAAGTGTCTATGTGAATGTGAAACACGTAGAAAACTGCGTTTTCTAGTTCAGCAAGTACTTGTGAAATATTAACTTGCTGTCTGTTCTGCCCTTTAAAGAGCTGCTGTTCAAAGGCACTGGTGGCATTTGAATTTGGGAAAGGTTTTCTGGGGTTTGGCAGTTCTCAGACACTTACTAACAAGACTCAAAATGGGAACTCTTTTTCACTGCTAATTAGTTTAATTTTCAGAAGTCTCTCTCCTGTGTTTCTCTTAATCCCCTTCAACACTGAGATTAATCTGTTTATCCATTTACTGCTTTTTTTTTCTTCCTTTTTATTTTTTTATTCCCCCTCTGCCCAGTTTGTATTGGTAGGGTTGTGGGTATGGACACTGTCAGTTGGTGGTGTTTTTACTCCTGGTCTTGCTGGTGTTTCATCCAGAGCATTGTAATTAAATGTTACCACGTTCTGTTGATTTTTTGCTCTGATAAGTTGATGCTAAAAGTCAAATCTGCAGGACAACACAGTGTTTCAAATTCAAGATCCAGCTTTCTATTCAGAGGATCAGCTTCCCTCAGGACAGCCGGTATAGATAGCATTTCTCTTCC